GTTTCTCTCTCGACTCTCACCCTTCTCTAACTTTTCAACCGTGGAAAGTCTCTACTTTATCGCTATACATAACGACCTTGCACGCTTTAAGGTTCCTTTGGGTTATCAAATTGAGCCGATCGATCACGACCTTTCAGCCGCTGCCGTTTTGCAGGAAATCGTGCATTTTGATAATGCGCGCGCGTAGCGGACCCGCGCACGGGTATGTGAAAAATCTTCGAGAGGACTGATGAACCTTCCACGCGTTAGAAAAGTCGCGTGCTATTTTTGGAAATTGTTAATCTGTTGATCCCAAGTTAGGCCTGTCGTTCGTTTTCTTTGTTTTTTTTTGTTTTTATTTTGGTATCGGTAAGGCGCACGTTGTGATATTTGAACGACGGATATCGAGTCAAAGGAATTCGATATCGCGTGTGTTAAACTTATATGACAAGCGGGTCGACGTGACGCGACTCTCCTCCATGTACTGGTCGCTCGCCAGCTCCTAGATTTACTCTTTACTGATCGTAAATTACGCTAAAGGAAGCCACAAATTGCCAGCGACATTTTCTCCTCGCTAACGAAGGCGCCTTTCATGCCGTCGCGCTATCAACCACCGCCAGGTATCCCGCGGCACTTGACGATCTGTCACGCGCTCCAGATCGATCCACCTCGGTGGTCCCCCGTCCTCCACGCCTGGAAGAGCGAGAGGTGTTCGGCGCGCTCTTCAGAACCCGCGCGAGAAGCCACCGCCGGTGAATCCCGACGGTGCCAGGACGGTCGGGCGATCTACCCGTCGTCGTGCCGCTTGGCTCCCGCGCCGATGGACCATTCGCGGTGCAACACTTAACACGGGATCCCGCTTAACACCACCAGCTCACGTCCGCAACTGGTTGCCACTGGCAGCGGATGCCTGGCATCGACATCGGTCGCGCCGCGCGCGATCCCGAAATTCCTGTCGCACACGCGACTTCCCCGTCGCGTCGTACCCGCCGATCGATCCGCCGCCGTCGATCCTTCCCTCGGTACATAGAACGCACTCTCGCACACACGCACCGGCCGTCGCGATCGGATCACGGTGATCCTCGATGATCCTGCGATCTCGAGGGGGAGAGAGAGAGAGAGGACCGTGTCGCGAGCGGTGAAATCGCGACGGTCCGCGGGGGGGCAAGGGGACAGATGTTCGCGGGGCCTTTTCCTCCTCCTCCACCACCACCTCCTCTCGCGTACGAGCACCAGCGCGTTCCTGGTGGCCGAGTGCCGTCCGCCTCGCGGATCGCGGGTTCAAGCGTGACTATTCGACCACCTCGGCGAGGAGTCCTCGGCAGGACAGGCTGTGGTCCGAAGCGACAGGGCGGGGTTCTAGGCGCGCATGAGCGACTGGTACAACCCCTCGCCCTCGTACCCCATCGTGCCACCCCCGCGATGCATTCTCCTTGTTTACGCTCCTGCCTGGCCCGCCTTGCTTCCTCCGCGCTTCTCCACGGGATGTCCCGAAGCCACCGTGTGATGTTTCGGCGGCGATCGAAACTCATTGACACCTTGAATTCGCGAACGGGATATCATTTCGCGGGGGCTCCTACTGTTTTATCGGAAAGTACACCTGCCTCTCGGAGGGAAGTTGGCCGATTGCGCGCACGGAAAGAAAAACGTGGCTGCCGTAGCTAAAAACTGCATGTGACAACTAAATTTCAATTGTACAATATGGACAGCTAATATTTAGTTGCGATAGCTAATACGTTGCTGCTGTGCCTGTTCTATCAGGCGCGACAGCAAACCGTTTGCTGTGCTTTAGAAATTCATAGTTACGGCAGCAAAATATTTTCAGCAAATGATTCGCTAGGGTAGCGAAAATTTGTTTTCAACGTACAATAAAACGCCGAAAGTTGACGGTTCGAATAAAGAGTCCAGGCGCTGAATTAAAAAGTGTTTCGAATTAAATGGCGGATTAAAGGTTTCATTGAATTATACGTCGCTCGCAAAGAGCGAGGTCGTTCTCTTCGATCGCTCGTAGAAGATGTCGATCGTTACTTTAAGAAGGCGGGTCTCCACGCAAAATGGAACGTGAACCCAGGTAGCAAGGTAACGTTCAAAAATGACGTTTTTGACGACAAATAACGTCAGCTTGCTACCCGGCAAGTCTCCAAAATGTTACCCGATAGATCTGGGACACTATGTGTGTGTATGTCGCGCGTAACCAGCACTTCAACCAGCGCGCGTTCTGCCCTTTCCCTCTTTCGCTCCTCTATTATCATCTTTTAATTACGTCCCGTAACGAAGCCAATTTTTTAATCGCCGAGTCTTAGCTCTCTCTCTCGCGTCACGGTGAGACGATGTTTTAAGGCTCTTTAAAAATCGTTTGACGGACGGAAGTTCCGTACGGTTAACGAGCGAGTTTGCATAAATTAAGAGGTAATCCGCGACACAAAAGCGCGAACCACGGAGGCTTCATTAACAATGGCTTTTTGACGTTTTCAATTTAATAATAAAATAAAATAAAATTTAAAAAATATATATAATTGGGCGTCCACTCTTGAAAGGCAGTTTGTGGATTGTTAATTGATCGTTAGGACGAATGAAAAAATATTGGCTTCCGTCGGCCAAAATGGAGATGGGAAAGTATCATTATACAGTTTCATTGTTGGCGGTATCGATCTCGGCCGCCGTCGCTTTTATTTACGGGCCTCCTGAAAGTAAACTCCACGTACGGAGTCTATTTCTGCTGTAAAGTAGATTTTATTGCTCGCTGCATGACGTTATATACCGATAGTTTGCGAGATCGTGGTGGGAGACGACGAGCCTGGGGACGCGATCTACCTCTCCCCGGGGAAACGTCCTGATTGTTACGCATATGTGTTACAGCGAAACCGCGCGATCCTCGCGAGAGCGCATCAGGCCTAACGACCGGCTGACGAGCGGCGTCGTCAACCGATCGTCCCAGATCGCCCGGTTTACAGACTTCTATATACCCGGTGTGTCACTGACGAACCGATGCACGTATACTGCTTTATTTACCTAACAAGATATGGCAGAACTCTTGCCTTACTTTTCAGCTCGAAGGTGACAGTCTAGTAGTAGAAGAAAGTTCCCTATTATGAGATAGGCTCCTAATACGATCTAGCGGAGTTTCTGCTAACTTAATAGGCATCATCCAGCTACTATGAATTTATGCTCTTGGAGTGAAATCTGTTTAGTAGAAAATTAATTGTGTTGGATCGGTGCGAAAAAATATTTGTGATTGAATACGAACGTTGAAAACCCACTTTCTCATATTAGAATTCTATCTCGTAATAGAGGACTTTCCTCTGTATAGAAATCCGTGGCCCGGCCGCGACCCTAAAGCTTTGTGTCCGATGTCAGAGATTGGTCTGAGATCTCGATCCAAGAAATGTGTAAGCCAGTCAACTACAGCTTTTCTGCGAAAGATGCAAGTTGATCGGCTACATATTTCTCGGATCGAGATCTCGGACCGATTTCTAGCATTGTGGACACGAGGCTTGATTCGGCCACTTGAATCGCGAAGCCCGATACGCGGACGACCGCACAGGAATTTATTATAACGCTAAAGCCCCGCGTGGCTTTTCCAAAGCCCGGTCCGCGCGATCGGATCGCGCTTCCGCTCGCGGCCCCGAGAACCCCGAGGTGATTTAGATGACGGGGCCGGCAACATTAGGTCACAAGTATCGTCGACTGATAAGCGACGAGGAACGCGCGTGTCAACGTGCAATACTTATCAAAGTTCGCACGCTCAGCCCCGACGTGCGACATCCGACGTTGATTGATACTGTATGCCGTAACTTTTCCCAAAGTACACGATAACTTGGTCTCGAATGTCTCAGGTCCCCGAGATTTACGGCAAATTAGTTTTTACATACACCGCATTGTTTCAAGAGGTAATTTTCTTCAAGTTGCCAGAGTGTTAAAATTTCAAATTAAATAATACCCCGATAGGGAAATATTTAGCAAATTATGTGACGAAATCGGGATGAAACTTGGAGTGCTGGAATTATGCGTACATATTTCGAACAACGTATGCAGAAATAAAGACCTTTCGTCAAATATTGATAAATACTTGCGCAACGTATTTCTAAATAGTGAGACAGTAAAACAGCTACGTTTTGGTGAATCACCTTGGCAGAAGATTTGCACAATTAAATTGCTGTGTTATGACGAGCTGCCGCTACGAGGCGTCTCATACTCGTAAGTAAACTTCATGCGACACGAGATAAAAGCGGACCCAGCAGTAAATACGTCCCAGGCTAAACCTTTTTTAAACATTTCTTATACGTAACTGTGTTGCTAGGCAATTTTGCTTCTAAATGTCGAAATAATTGTGCATGATTTATCTCCTAAATTATCAATTTTTGAGATTATCAATTTTTGAGCAAATACCATTTAGAAATTCTATTATAATAAGCATTGCAGGTTTCAGTGTCACGATGTACGAAGAGTTAGAAAGTCGCAAGCTTTTCAAACGTACCTCAATTCGCATGCAACTTCAAATGGCTTGGCATTAATGACGCAGTGTGTGCATACATACATTTACTTGAAATTTGATATTTTTATTTAAATAGAATAAATTTTACTGTATTAAAAAGCTAATTTTAAGTAAATCTATTAGTTAAAAAAATGTTTTGTCAGTGTATAACAAAAGTATACACTATCAATTTTAAATACAATACTATTTTCTACTTTTCGTACTTTAACGCGTTCACGTGGTCGCCTAGAGAATATAAATAAGAGG